CCCCAAAACCCCAAAACCCCAAAACCCCTAGTGGGAAATAAATTAAAAAGAAAGATAATTAAATAAAAAAATACAGATTTATTAAATAAAAAATCTTAAAATATGAGTTAACTTTTTATCAATACTGCCAAGGCAACCTTCTACGGTCCAAATGGAACAGGTCGTGACACTTACATCTACAACAATAACGGAGGTCTCACTGCTGGAATCATGTAGAATGTTCAGCCTCCAGTGGGTAAGATATCAATACTAATACGTGTGTTTACTAATTAAATGTGAATGTAGGTACTCTCGTCAGTCCAATCAAAAAGCATATTGCTGTAAATAAACCAGTCATTCATTCTCGATCAATCCAATATCATAGCAATGGCTCAGGCAGAGACTCATATATAGTGTATGATATAAGTTCATTTTATAATAAAATAGGAGAGGCTAGGGTGGATTCTAGATTGACAGTTCCCCTGGGGCTCAGAGCAATTCATTTTATAACAGTTTAAGGCAGTATGACCCTAATCAGAGATATATTATGCGCAGATCTGGTAGTAACAGTCCTTCTGGCAACATGACCAGTCCTACTACCAACTCTAAAAAGAATCCATTCAAGGACTACTTGGTTGAGGGCTAAAATACCTATTCCAACGGCTAAGTCAAGCATTAACTCAATGCCCTTAATATGTATCAGAAGCAATTAGACAGCAGACTATCATAACCTAAATACTCACTTCAACAGGATGGCAACATGATGGAATAAAGCAGATCAGCCCTTAACATCACTAAAGTCTAGAATAAATTCCAAGGCAGCAGTACTCAGAGCATACCCAATGGAAGAGAGTCTTTATGAGCAGCAGCAGTAACTGAACAATTTAATGGTCGGATTGGTAAATTTAATGAGTGAATCACTCAATCAATTTCTTAATAAATACTAAGTTATTTGCCTTATGTCAAGGCCAATCAGTCGCTTGTAAGAATTTCACTTAAGAGCGGCTATAGGTTTTGACAATATTTTGTGGCAAGTTTTACTAATTCTTATATTTCATCATATTTGCGCTTTACTAAGATCTCAATAGTCATGGGGTTTTGGGGTTTTGGGGAGATCGGAAGAGC